GTGAGTCTAAACTTTTGATGGGTAGTATATATGCATAAATCATTATCTGAACAAAAGTCTTCAAATAGTTTACCTTTAGCGTTAGTAGTTGTACCACCCCAGAGCCGGTTGTGGCCATTTAAATTTTTATGCCCCCGCCATATATGGCAGGGGCACATAGGGTTACCCTCGGTGTCCGTCCGTACGAAACAGGGAATGTAATCTATCCACTTCTCCACCATAACCGCTCTGTGGAATTCAATGAACTTATACATGAGCTTTCTTGGGACTCGAATGGTGTGCATCTCATATTTTGTTTTTTATTTTATTGTTTGTTTTTTTAAGTTTAGAGACAATTGAACTTAGGTACATTTTGCTGAATTTCTCTATGATGATAGTGTAATTGGGGATGAAGTCTATCCACTTATCCACAAAAACTGCTCAACAGAATTGAATGAACTTCTACATGTCTTTTGCAGGGACACCAAAGGTGTGCAGTTCATAATGTTTTATGCAATTTCTTACTTTTGTCACTTTTACAGATGTTTGACCTTGTTGAATTTTGTTCTATTCAGCCAGTGTTCGTTCCATCCAACAGTGGGTGTACGTTATCCACATCTCCTCAAAAACAACTTTATGGAATTCTTTTAGATTACACATGTGCTTTATAGGGACTCTAAAGGCGTGCATCTCATATTTTGATTTTGTATTTTATTCATTTTTCCAATTTTAATGCCGTTTGAACTTAGATCAATTTTGTTGAATTTCTCTCTGAATATAGTGTTATAGGGGATGAAGTCTATCAACTTCTCCACAAAAACTGCTCAACAGAATTGATTAAGCTTATACAAGTGTTTCATTGAGACTCGAAAGGTGTGCATGTCATAGTTGCATAGATGTTTATTGAACTTGTTCGTGAATTGTGTTCAATTATTGATCTTTATATGTCTTATGAATGTCTGTGGGGGCATCCGTGTCCCTGGACACAATTTTTTCTCGTTGAAGTTCCGTCTTCTGAAGAGTTGAAGACGCTGAGATGTACAAAGAGCATAATGTGAACGCAACATGTAACGTCAGTCATACGGCAACCGCCTGGAGACCAGTATTAAGTATAACAGGGCTATGGATAACATTTTGTTTGATAAAGATCGAAGATCCTCCAGTGGCCCGATCACCTGGGGGTGAAAAGGAATGGCATGCTTTGAAATGGCGTAAATCAAATGTATCCGTCTGTTTTAAATATGTCTCCTGGAAACAAATGGCTGATGGTGTGAAGTACTGGACTAGTAGCTGCAAATCATTGACATTATTCCTTAGCCCTCTGCAGTTCCACTGTACAATATTATTAGAAGACATTATCTTTTGGGGGGATTTATTGGGAATCTACCCCGCACTTTTTTGGAGGGCGACAGGCTATGTGCCCTAGAATGGACGTTTTCAGATACGTCCATGGCCTCAAGAGATCCGTATTTGTTGTATAATTTTATTCTATTTTCCGACCCTTTTGGGGCTCTGCCACTTTGTTTTTTGAAAGCATCAAGCTTCTGTTTATTTTTGCTTTTAGCAGTTTGCTCAGTATCAGTTGACGATTGAGATTGTGAACGTGATTGAGAGGATGACTTGTGATCTGAAGATGACTGTCTGCCTTTCAGATGTACTAGGAAGTGATTCCGTGGTTTGAGATGATATAGCAGGATATAAACGCTGTGGATTGTCACTTTTGATCCAAGTCAAGTTTGTTTGACAGCTTGTGGATGATGTAGATACTTTAGGGCTTGATTCAGTTGGTGTTTTGGTTATTGAAGCATAACTTTCTGTAAGTTCAGATCTCTACACAAGTTTTTTGGCCTTCCGAAAAACTGATGTTTTGGGTAAATTTGATCTTGTTGATCTGCATTTGTTCTTTCCAAATCGGACATTCTTTTGAGAAAGATGAATGTTCTCCTGAATAGTTGGTGCATTTTTAAAGGTACTTTTGTTGTGTGTGTCTTCTCACCACAGTGAACACCACAACGGACAATATACAAGTATTTACACCATGGCCAAACTTCTGGCATTTAAAACATCTGAGGGGGCGGTGGGGTAGCCTTGTGGTTAAAGCGTTGGCTCGTCACGCCGAAGACCCGGGTTCGATTCCCCACATGGGCACAATGTGTAAAGCCCATTTCTGGTGTCCCCCGCCGTGATATTGCTGGAATATTGCTAAAAGCGGCGTAAAACTAAACTCAGTCAGTCAGTCAGTCAGTAAAACATCTGAGCGGATTCGGAAAATACAAGTCAACCTTGATGTTGCTTTCAGTGATTTGGGAGCTGTCGGAGATGAAAAGGAAAATAGATAAGTATTGGTTTGAACAGTTTCGTTGTTTTTACGGGTTGAAAAGCGTTTGACGTACAGCACACCGTGGTCTTTCATTTCAGTCACGATATCAAGTTCCGACATGTCAGCAAACAATCGATCGCTGTCTAAGTGTCTAGACGATATCAAACGAAACAAATGGGGTGTGAAAACGAACTCTGGGCTCGTAAGACTGGGTTTGTTTGAAATGTAATTAATGAACGAAATCTGATTTTGCACTGTGTAGCATTTTCTCAGATTTCCATTCGTTGATTTGTAGCATGCATAGGCTGAATACTTTTAGAATATGGATAAAAAAGAAATCAAGAAAAATGAATGGAAATTAAAAATAGATGCAATAAATTATTTTGATAAATTCATACCAAATTGTCAATGTTTCCGTGCAATGTGTCGTCACGCCATGACTGACGCACATCACGAACGTTAACGAGTAAGGCAATTGTCGTCACTTCTGACTTCTTCTCTTTCTTATAATGAAACCAATAAAAACGAATACTAATACGCAGATAGTCAGAATGTTTCTGATTACTTACAACACATTTCATTACTTGTGTAAACGACAAATAAACCTGCGTACCGACGTCAGCGAACCCGCCATTTTGTAAAAACTTGGTCACCGGTTGCGAGGTCATACATCAACGTTGTTGTACATATTTGGTAATTCCTTTAAGGTGAAGGGCCTTTGAATGGGAGTAAACACAAAAATCCAATCCTCCAGTTTTCAGTTTCAATATTATGATGCATATTTTGCGTATCGTTTAGGTAATTTATTTCAGAAAATTGACTTCATTATCTCCATTTTGTTGTGTACAATACAGGTTATTTTTTTCCTTCGAAAGTCATTGTTTGTTTGAGCAATATGTAGATAAGATATTGACAGCTTTAGCGTAGAACGCCATATTTGTAACGTAGACATAAATCCAATATGTTCGTTGTTCCTGTGATTCAGTGTTGGGGTCGTTTCATGTTAACAGGTTAGTGAACAGCGATTCCATTTAATCGTACAAGTACTGACAAAATGAACCTATGAAAGTGATTTATTAAATGTATTGTTTATTAAATGTATACATACACACATATTTTAAGGAATTGTCTTATCATGGAATCTTTTGAGTATCCTTTTATGGACTTAAAATTATGTCTAATCATTCGCCAAGTGCGCGTTTGTCATAACACTTAAGGATTTATGTTTGCAAAAATATTATATTGTGATGACAGAATATTAAACTATTAAAATGTATTTGCACAAGAGTTGTACAAAAACACATACAGTGTCATATTCTCCTTTGGAAAAACCGTACTGTATTATTCTGATTGGTTCATTCATCCAATTTCTTTTCTTCTTTCATTGGATATTTATGAAGAGAGAATAATGAACGAGGAAATGTTGTATCCTGACAGATAAGTCTCTTTTGATAAATGTCTTTTAAAAACGATAGACTGTTGCCAAACAGGTGCGCGTGTTGCCTTTATTATTATTATCGAACTATTTCATTGTTTACCTATTCAGGACATTGTTCAAATGTTAAAATCAGTCATTTCATGATCTATCAAAGGAGCGGAAACTTTTGACTGAGAAACCGAGATTTTGTATTTTTTTAACAGAAATTAGGTTATATATATCAACGTCGTCTTTCTACGACGTCGCAAAACATATAAAACAAGCCACAAGGTCAAGTAAAATGATGTACATTTCCCAGTGATTTCCTTTAATTTGAAGATATGACTAGTCCTTAATATTAATGGTGCAGAAAGTTTCAAAATACATTGACCTAAACAGGAAAATATTGGGAATTAAGAACTAATTTACATATTGGCTACTACATGCTTTCTCGCGTAAAACGATGTCATCAGTTCTTATTAACTGTCATACTACTAAAACGTGTCCGGTTACAGCGTCAGTCTTTGCACTGGAATAATTTGGTTTATCGTGAGCAAAGAATCATGTGTACGTATCCACAGCAAATTCTCTCGGAGCACACAAATCTATTTCATACATACGTATGTCGCTAGGGTATCAGGATGTATGGACTCACACTTTCCGCCAAGATGTCAAATAAGGAAAATCGTAGCACAGTGCTTTTATCAGTGTACCATAAAAAGCTGAGAAATGTACTGTTTTTAACGCATAACAAAATTTTGGACAACTCTTAGCAGTGTTTATTTTTCCGTTAAAATATTTGCACTTGAATTTATACCACCGGAAAGGACATTTCATTTTCTACATTTCTGTGTAATTTATATAGCTGTAGGTAGATATGTGACCGGAATTCACACACATCGTTCACTTTTCAAGCATACTCGGCATCCAGTGCAGGGTGTAATGTTATGAGAGTGTGTTAACAATGGAAAAACTGTACTGAGTGATTTAGTTTTACGCCGCACTCAGCAATATTCCATCACTTCTAACCCGGATCTTCACGGGTCTTTTAGTGAATATATGGTAATTACCAGTGGAATATATCTCGCTAATTTAAAATTCTGGCATATGTATCACATAAATTCTGGCATATGTATCACATAAATTCTGGCATAAGTTCTGGCATATGTATCACATAAATCCTGGTATATGTATCGCATAAATGACCAATGAAAATTGTGCTTGTAAATGTTTAGTTTTATATTATTGTGTATCCTGTCACGTATAAGACGATTAAATTCTCACCTGTTGAGGCTGTGACCTGCTTTACAAAGTGACTCTGCGTGTCCGGACTGTCAATGGTAACCAAATGTTCTCCTCTTGTAGTACAGTCAGCAAGGCCCTCGGCGTAGAGGAACTTGTCAAGATGAAGCTGATAGCAGAAGTTTAGGAGACGGTTGTGGATGTAGCCGGGTGGACAAGCACCTGTGAAAGACATGATTAGGATTAAGTTAGATTTGCTTACAGAATTCATGGCAACATCACATGTATTTATAATGCGTCATTAACTAATATTAGAGTCAATAAAGGGTAAATTGATATATACGCATGTAAAGAAATAACAGAACTAAAAGTGTCATCATAATGTTGAATGTGTTGACAAACGTGATACATCATGACATACAGACAGATAGTTCAAACAACACTACTAAACATCAGTTGTATAGACCAACCACCCAAAATGAAAATGACAAACATGAAGCAGTCGGTCATTGAATATCTTGTGTACCTTCCTTTCGCAAGTTCATAAAGAAAGCTTGTGGAAGCGCATTCCAATCCTCTACTAGAGCTCTGCGAAGTCCTGGGAGGTCCACTGGTGCTGAATGACGCGTGTACACACGTCCACCGAGTTCATCCCAGGCTTCCCTCAATGAGGCCTAGCGTTGTCGTCTTACATTAAAGAAGGTCGACCATAAAAGCCAGGAATGGTACTGCTACAGGAACCAGAATCTCGTCCCATAATGCTGTCCGGTAACATTACCGTCAACCAAGTGCAGTGGAGTACGTCCAGTAGAAGTAATCCCTGCCCATACCATGACAGACCCCCAGCCAAATCAACTATGCATGGCCACAGACCATTAACGTTGATTTCAGCGGCCATGATGTCTACTCCATCTCAAGCGCGCCTGGATGTGACGTTATGTTAGTGGTGGACAAACTGCAGGTCGCGTACAAAATAATGCTTGAAAACCGTGTTAGGATATACAATGCCATTCAGAAAGTGGTCAGATGTAACATATGTTATATTTGGGATTACACTTTTTAAGTAAAGTACAGATCCGGATGGGATTAAACCCAACAAAAGTACTAGAATCTGTACTTTACTAAGAAAGTATAATCCCAAATATAACATATGTTACGTTGTTAGGATCTACACCGAAACGGCGCAACAACTACTGCAACAGAGAAGTTGTCTATCCATAAAAATGAGTTCTACTTCATCATACCAGCTTCCAAATGCCACTCAAGGAAGCCAGCCATCCCTCTATGTAAATCTTGCAAATAAAGCTTCTGACAAGGTACAGCGAATTCAGCATTCTGCAGCAAGATGCATCCTGAAAATTCCTGCTCTCGAAACCTTTCACTGGTTTCATATCACCTCTGGAATTACCTTCAAGATCTGTATTACTACCCATGACAGCCTCAACAATGAAACCTATTCTTCATGCATCAAGGACCTGCCCTGTATTCTCCTAAATGTCCATTTGGATCGTCAACCAGCCTCTGTATACTTCTACCACGTCTGACCGTGCCTTCTGGCCGTGTGGTATTTGTGATAATCTATAACTGTAAACACTTGCCCTGGAAGAATATATATATTACGTACCTGAAGTAAGGCTGTAGTACACTGTTCCCGTCTCCTCTTGTCCGTCCTGGGGCGACATGAACAGCACGTCATGGAGCTGACACCGTCGATGTTGGCGTCTGTAGAATGCAGACACACACGCCTCGGTCATAAGACACAGAGACAAACATTCAACATTGCTCCGAATGTTGGAAACCTCAAATAGGATGTCACTTGTTATTATGACATTTTTTAAGCTTCCCCAATTGTTTCCAAAACCGGTATTGAGTAAAGCAGACGCTTGGGTTACAACATAACTCGGTATGAGAATGAATAACCAAAAGTCCATTATATAAAGTATGTCTTTCGTCTGTCCGAGAGAGAAAACGTCGATATTATAGCTCGCTATTTCAATCGCACATGCATAATGCAAACGCAGAATCGCGCCTGCTCCTCTCTGCGTATACAATTGGTTTCCTTGGGAGTTATCAGTGCAACGGACAAATGTTGTTCTAAATCAAATCATATACAACATGCAATGCGCGTTCAATGAGAACTCAAAGCGTCTTCAATGACACAATGCAGTGGATTGATATTCTTGTTTTTTTTTGAGATACTCATTTATGGATTAGTCTGTAAATCCGTATTCTTACATATATCATGGATTTAAAGAGAACACATTGTGCTATGCATGTGTGTGTGTATGTGAATTTCTTTTTATTAATTCATTTTTATGTCACAATGTCCATTACAGCCGTTTCCTGTTCTTCAACTGAAAGTACACGATGAATAGTTGATATAAATACATAGTGTGTACATTACCTCTTATATTCAGTACACATACATACACAGTACATATAGTCAGTCAGTTATAGGATTTCTAAACATAAATAGAAGGATGAAAAGAAAGAATGAAACCTTGCATAGTTACAATTAGAAAACGCGATGAATTTTGAAAGTTCATTTTACTGTTTCTCTTTGGAACCATATTAAATTGGGTTTCACTGCTTTTTGTGCCATCAAACTATAATATATCCATTCTGTTTCAGTAGTGTAGTATTTGCCATAGCATTTAATTTGCAAATTTGGGATTTTGCAAATATTGTGAGTTGTATATAGTAATGATTACTACGACGTGCAAAAATCCGTCGTGGCATGTAGGTAGTTCCTATCTGGTTGAGGGTCAGATGTAGGGGCGGTTGGTAAGAATAGTGGTTAAAACACGTGTTCGAGTCCTCACATGTGTACAGTTTGTGAAGCCAATGATTTTATAATGTTTTTAGACTGTTTCAGGGTTGCAATAGCAATTAAAAGTGCTCCATTTTTTCTGTGAAAGATGGGGATTTCAAGTCAATTCAGATAAAACCAATGTTATATTCAGAAATGGAGGCTTTGTTGCTAAACGTGAAAGCTGGGTTCTAAACAATACAAATCTAAAAATTATACTATATAAGTATTTAGGTATTCTATTTTCATCAACGTTAAATTGGGCAAAATCATTTCAAACGCTAGCAACTCAAGCTTCACGGGCAATGATGACTCTGTTCACATTATTTCGAAAATAATAGTTGCATATCTTTTCCAGCGGCTTGTAAAATATTTGATAGCAAAGTTCCACCAATATTACTGTATGGGTCTGAAATATGGGTGACAAGATACTTTGAAGTTATAGAAAAAGTTCACACTCAATATTTAAAACGTTTCTTACAGGTTGGCAAATTCGCATCCAATAAGGCTATGCTTGGTGAAACAGCGCCACACGATGTATGTTTCAATACAGATAAGAGTTATAAAATACTGGATAAAAATACTTCTTATGAATTGTTCTAGATATCCATACCAATGCTATATAATGTAAACAAATTAGATGATGCTGGAAAGCAAAACTGGGTGTCAAATCTCAGAAATTTGCCATTTTACACAGGTTTTACCCACGTTTGGTTATCACAAAGTATGGGTGATTCTATCATGTTTACAACTATATTCAAACAACGGTTGAAAGATATAGTTTTATATCATCTTCGCTCTTTTTAAGTATTAATTATAGCAGCATTAAGTCCTTGTTGCAGCCATAAAAATATTTAATGTGTCTCTCGGATAGGCCTAAGAGCCTTATGTAACTTTAGAATCTCTCTTTATGATTTTAATATTAATAACCTATGTTTGCAATGTGATCTTACCGTTATGGAGGACAAGTAAAAAGTATCATGACCTGAGATTAAAATATCTCTGAACCCTATCCAATGTTAATCACTATTCAGTTAAACTCTTGTATAATATATTAAGTATAAATAATGAAGATATTTTACGAGCACTCGACATTTTTCTTTCTTTAAAATGTATTTCTATTGAGATGTAAATGGAAATAGAAATATTGCTGCATTGTTCACCACGTGGCATGTATTTTATCAAATACAGTTGTCTTCTAGGCTATGAGGCCGAAATACTGAATAAATATATATCATCTGATCTCATAAAAAGTTTGTGAAGCCCAATTCTGATGTCTCCCGCCATGATATTGCTGGAAGTACAATCTTATTCGTTCTCTTATAATGCTGTGTGGATTATGCCTTTTATCCGTTGCTACCTCGTGAAACTGAGATGATACTGCATCTGTTGACGATCAGTTGCATCAAATTTTTTTCTGTGACCTTATCTATGTCTATTTGCTAAGGTCAAATGGTAAATAGGGTTGTGTAAGTGAACAGGTATTGATATCTATTGCTGTGTGATACGATTTATAGATACGGATAATCTAAACTACTGTATATGTTTATTGATTACCATTATAGCCTCGGGCATTTATGTAGCTGTACTTGACGTTCAGGAATCGCTGTCATTGTCCTTGGATATAGATGAATGAAGAAGTGGAGTTTGTCTTGATCGACTACATTAAAAAACAAAGGCAGTATTTTTTGCGGATGCTCGTTCCAGAGTCACTTAATCGGATCATGTCATCTGATTGTACAGAATTTCGACGTCCTGTTTATGTTATGTGCTCTGTGAACAGCTTTTCCTTGAAGTTGACTTTTTTAGAGTAGGTTTGCAAGATTGTAAGGTTCCTTCGTTTGAAGTGGCAGTCAACAACAACTCACTAAATATAAGAAGTTGTTGTCCATTAAGTTTGTTCTATATGACGACGAGCGTTTCAATGACCAACAACTTTACAATATCAAAACATTTGTCAGAAGAATTCATGACGCAATGTATACGTGGTGCACAACGATCGAGAATGATAATTCAAATATCTTACGCCTTATATACTCTCACTACAACTACGCCACCTGAAACTGAATTACACCCCTATGGTGTATTCCTCTCCGCTAGGAGACAGTAATTTCTATGCCATTCGTCCCTCAACCGATATAAATATAATATCTCCTAGCCCCTCTAACACAATACAACAAATAACATAACACACATAAAATCTCTCTCACATCAAACATACACCCTGAAATCTGGCTGGGTACATAAGCTTCTTTGTCTCTAGGTAAATGCACAAAATCGAGCACTCCAGGTATGAACGTTTCTTTCGGACACTAGCTGAGTACCACGCAGGCACAACCAAAGAACCTTTAGCTTTGCTAAACCTGCATATGATCCAGAACTCTACAAACAAGATACACAGGCCGCACAATCCAGTGGTTTGCATCACCGTAACGCATCTATTGCAACACATCCTTGATCCCAGGATCTTCAACAGAAAGTTCACACTTTGGCGTTCTAGTGAGCAGCAAATCTGTCGACATCATATCTTCCCCACATCCTCTGCGGATTTCTAAAAATACACTGCGAAATTCCCCAATCATCTTGATCAATTATCTTGCTTAAAATGTCAGCTTTATCATTAAGAGATCAAGGGACCTAATGCACAGAATGAGATAAACACACATTGAATATGGATCTGGCAATAGCCTGCAAATCTAGTTTCGTGCTACCTATACACACTATGGATTCAACGTTCGTATTGTAAGTGAACCACTTTTCTCGCTGCAAGGTTAACTTTCCAGACAATCTTTGAAGAACAACCTTTACCTCCACCAGCTCTCTGGAGATTGTCGTTCCAAAATATCAGTTGATCTATACTGTCAGTAGATAGTGAACTAAAAGCATTCCAGGAAATAACTGGAATACTCAATGATCTTGTCATCAGCTGTCAAACGAAACCCGCTACAGTCTTCATTAAAATAATTTGAACAGCAACTGAAGCAACAGATCGAACCGGAACTTTACCTGTGTGATCTAACAGATATCAGACAGCAGACGACATTAGCTTGTCCAACCTTCGTGCAGGAATGTAGAACTTCATAACTCAGGTAGCAATAAAAAGACCCAACCACTCAACAACTTGACTTGGCTCCCACAATGACTTCTCAACCTTCGGTACAAAACCGGATTTAATCAGGTCACTCTTGATGCTTTTTGCATTATTCAATCTGTTCCCATGTATTGTCACATCATCTAGAAATACCACACATTTGTCTCGTCACGATATGGCTGAAATATTGCCGCTGTGACGTTAAATAATAACTTCCTTACTCACTCACCACACATTTGTACGACTGAGATCGCCAGTACTTTACCAACTCAGGTGTAATTTTAGTAAACACGCAAGGAGCAGTTGTCAAACCAAAACACATAACTACAAACTTGTAAAATGTTCTGATTCACAGTTGGATAAGAGCTAGTCATTAATTGTACCATTTCCTTATAAGGAGGAAAATATGGGAAGCATTTCGGTAGGACTGACTACCTCAAACCGCTAAGGAAAGAACATTCAAGGAAAATATGATACTTTGTTTCTTGTGTTGGAATAATACACATGGAACAGAAGCTCTCAACTCTAGATAGATTTTGCTTTCTGCCCTCAGCAATCATCAACTTGTGACGAGTACAACGTATCCTAGAATGTGCTGTTCTATAAACATTATTCTGGACATCCGAGATGTAATTTGCAAAAACGTTAGACTTCTTAAAGGAACACAAAAAAAAATGGAATACCTAGGAACTTTATCAAACAGTTGTTGGTTATCACTATCAACACACATTTGATGAAACTGTTTCAAGAAAATATCTTTACTATCTACTGTTCATGTAATCCAAAGTACTTACAGCCAAATTTATATAATAATTTCTCCACATGTAGTGCTCACCAATTTATTGTACTTATTG